ATTATAAAAAGATATAAATCGTTCTACCGGTTAAATGACCGGTCGTGGTAAGTAAGACAGACTACAAATTTTTCCCAGAAAATAAACGATAAAAAAAGGAGTAAATATTCAAAAATGTTTTATACATATATTTTAGGAAAAGTCGTGAAGTATAAAGACGATTCAATTACGTTGTCTATAGGAAATTCTAATCGAAATTTTAAGAACAATCATTTGACTGGTCGCGGTAGGAGTAGTGTTAAATATTACACTTTACAATTTTACTATGAAATCAACTGCGTTAATCGAATGCGTTAATTTGGTGTAATAAATCATACATATGGACCGATATATACTTTCGCGAGTAACTATACGCCTGCGAAGGAATCGTGTACTCATAAATAAGTAAATAAATTGGTCGGATGTAACCCGTGTTAAATGGCAGTATTAAATGAATTTACTACTCGCGATGGGAAATTTATTGCCCGTACGCAATTCATTTGTCGCTGGGTAGGTGAGTTGAGCGACCCTTTGAGACCTAACTCGAAAACCACCGGCCGAGATGAACAAATTTCGATATAAACAGCCTAGCTCCTGTTATTTACGTCCAGCCGGACATATCTAACCGGCGTGACATCGATTTCCATGCGAGTTGTTTCCAGGCGTCGCCGAAACAGCAAAAACAAGCCGGCCGTCGGATCGTATAATACGGACCACTCCATTATTGCGTCCAACGTTTTCTCCGTGAACGAAATACGTTAGAAAAAACGGTTATGATAAGAATTTCGGTTCTTATATTATTATTACTATATGTATACACTGCCAATTAAAATTTGGCACCACTTGGTGTGTAACGTGAAAAATGAAAGATCATATATATATATAATTTTCTTATAAATGTATAAAATAAACTAATAAAATGTATGTACCTGATAAATATATAAAATAAAATATAAATATAAACTGTCCAATCGTATTTAATTATTGATTTGAATTTATTTGTTTAATATTTGAACACACGGCCAAAAAGTTACCGGGTTACATTCGAACGATTTCTAAGTAATTTCTTCGCTGCTTACAGAAAATCGAGTTGCCAGTTATCTGCCAGACGAAAATAATGAAGCAACATCCGTGGTATATTACTCTGAATGGTATTTCATGTCTCGTGTTCCAAATAACTTCCGTCCCAGCGTGAGTCGTGCGCTACCTTATTACTCGAAGCAACGCACCGAAACTTCGTCTAACAACTATTCCTCCGGCTATAGACACTTTCGATGGTAAACGCGCAAAACGCACACGACGTCCAGTGTGTAGTCGCTTCACGCTTCGCGGTCCGTGCAAAATAAATGTTGCGTGGCGATTCCAAAGCCGAACCGTGAATCAATGCACACACGTACCCACTTGAACATCAGGTGCATGAAACGCTTCTTTCGGTATCACGGTATACAAAAAACCAACAGTTTTTCTGAACAAACCATGTCGAGTGTATTTTACAGACAAGGCCGCGTCAAACCGTGAGTGCAAGGGGTGCACCAGGCGGCAACATTAATCAATCAACACATTGCATACCGGATAATTTTCAGAAAACTGAATTGTGCGGATGGTAATTTTCAGTGAGGTGAACTTATATATCACTATACATAGAAAAACTCAGATATAATATTGTTATGTAATATATTTTAAATAGATAATCAATTCGAATGAAATTTTATATTTTTTTCAATGCTGTGGTAATTAGCGAAGTTGCATAGCTAAGTGTCTTTATATAAAAACGAGATTTCTCGTTACCAGCACGCAATGTGTTAACCCAGCGGTTTCCAACCATTACGCTACTACGCCACCCTAAAAAAAATTTTGTTTTCCGCGCCTCCCTATTTTTTAATGGATATAATAATATATACACGTTTTAAGTAATAATAACTTTATTACGAAATAAACATTACTTCACTGAATTTATACTGTTCCGTTACGATATGAGGTTTATTTATTTGTAGATATTATGGTATGAACGTTAATTTTTTATTAAAAATTTTGGCGCCTCCCCTGGTAATAGTCTGCGCCTCCAGGTTGGAAACCGCGGAATTAACCTGCATCGTAAGAAAGTATGAAATAGAAGGCCCTTACCACAAATTTAAAAAAAATTGTATTTAACACTAGATTTATGGAACCTTTCAATTTGACAAATATTGAATTTTTTAAACATTATATTAAACATTACATTACATTATATTAAACTCGAATTCCTGTAATGTGTATAAACAGACATGTAGTTTACTAGAAACGGTAATGTAGAATAAATTTTCGTAACTCTGGTGTTAACTAGAAAAATTAGAAGTCAAAAAAGGTACTAAGTCAAGCCTAATAATATATTGCAATTCCTTTTCGTGTCGAGTTTCTCTTTGAAGGAGTGAAACTTCCCTTCAGAAAAAATGCAAATTTTTCTTTTCCGTGGATTAGCTTCAAAACTCCTTTACATTTATGAAATTGTAAAACAAAATTGTCCAAAGGTTAGAGTTTAAAAAATTTTCTTTTGATACATGAGTGGTCAGATCCGTGGCAGAAGTTCACGGCATTCTGAACGTATTCATCTTGGTCAGAATGCTAATCACTGAGGAACATTGTCAAATATAGAATCAAATGAGAATAACTTATTAAGTCTGAACTGTAAGAGAAATGATCGGTTTATTTCTAATGAAATTTTTTGATCGGACGGTTAACCGCTTGGTCGATTGTCGTGCACATTTTCACGTCTTTCATTAAAATTCCTAACTCGTCCCCTTATCTACTACTACATCACCTATGGCATTTCCTCTGTAGATCTCACAAAATTAATGATGAATATCTGCTGATTTTACATCTTTTTCGTCGGGGAAATGCTTTCAATCCTTCTTTCCTCATCTATTTTGTTGATTCTCGATGCAAACATTGGCTACACGTACATTTTCATTATGTGTATTTTTTTTATTGTAATTTCTCAATTTTGTGTAATTTGTCTTCGTGACTATAACAAAATCTATACACTATGAAGTTAATAAATATCAACCGATGAATACGAATTAACAATGTAATCAATAATCTTCCTAATTCCATTAAAACGAATAGATTTTGTAATTTCGAATTTACAATGACGTTGAATGTTCACGCCTGCGTGTATAAAAGTTCAAGTCGATCAATTATTTAATTTCGTTTAAATTAAATACATCAATTTAACTTGAGTTAAATTCATTTGAAAGTTACATTAATAACTCATGTAGATAATGTTATAAACTGGACTTGTGCTGTTTCGAAATTCGCAACTTTAACATTATATTCGAAGTTGACTTTCTCGATACTCTTCGTTACAAAGTTTGCTCGTCTCGTTGTATGATGAATTTTGTTACTCGCTTTATTGCAACTCGTTTTTCAGTGTCTCGTGACGTGTAATGATGAGATTCGTTGAACGAATCATATCGAGGTTTACTCGACGGAGTGTACTCGGCGGAATCCTGGAAGTTTGGTGAAAGAACTATGAAGAATTGATAGACGGAACCGATGAGAATTGGCGGCAGATGAAAAGCGTTCGGAGAAAGTTCCATATTGCTTCTTAAATCACAGACAGAAATTGGCAAAAAGAGTATCGAATTTATGTGTTTTCTGGCATATGGAATTTCATTGTAACGTCATTGTTCGATTTGTAACTACTCATTGCTCCCATAACGTAATTTTATCATTGAAATATAGGTTAGCTTAAAGCGTGTAACTCCTCCCTCTATATTAGTTTCGTGTGTTTCATCTTTAGGATGAGTAATATCCTGTCCGAGTTTTTAGAATGAACCTACAGACATATTGGTACCTGGAAGGCACAATAAAGCTTTAAAATTGGGAACGTTCGCAGTTTTATCTGTGAAGAATACATTAACAAACAATAATGCACAAGAAACGCGAACCGTCATCAGGAGATAGTGATAATAACATTTATATCACGGTTTGAAAAAAATTCAATTAACAAAATAAAATGCCTTACCCGTGGTAGTTCACGTTTTAACACTGAAACTACCGAGCAGTTACAGTAACTTGTTTTGAATTTTTTATAAAAATTAGAAGGATACGTTTCTTGAAATTAGAATCCTGTGTCCGTATGGATATACAAATTTAATTAAAAATCTTTCGCAAATCGCATTCATAATTCAAATACTTGCAAAATAACAGTTCTGAGATGAGTCAATTTAACCTGTCTGGTAGTTTTAATGGTAAAAAATGTCTTGGTATTGTATTAGTTAAATCTATTGCAAAGAAGAATCATTATACCTGTCTTCCAGTTTTCTAGTCCACCCTATATAGATTTTAACTGAAAAGAAAAGGGTCGAGATGCTTTGACATAGGAAATGGCTGTAGGTCTGCTAAGTAAACGTAGACTTTGTAGAATGAACTATAGAAAATTGATGAGTGGACGTAAGAGTAATTAGTAGGATGAACCAATGGCCGAAGGGGCTGGAGTGGAGTTAGATGAAAAGGTTTCGAAGGAAGTTCAACTAATTTTGCATTATTTCACTCATCTACTACTAGAATAATAAAATGGTGGATGGATTTTAGAATAATAAAATGGTACTAGGACAACGTAACGAAGTACATTTTTTCTTTCATTATTTTATTTTACTATTTCGCTATTAAAGTTGTAATTTGCCCAATGGAATGTTTGGTAAACTATTTTAACCCCTTGCCTTATAATAACGTGATAGGCTCATGGTGAAGATTTCCAACATGATTTAACAAACGTAAATGTTACTCAATTCGTTTGAATTCAAAGTAAATATTATTCTTCTATAATAAATTATTAAACGCAAACGAAGACATAGAATATGCTAGAATTTACCCTTTTTTCCAATGAATTATTAATAACAAAATAGTCGTACCGATCATAGATAATAAATAAATCATAGGGCAAGGGGTTAATTAATGCTGACGCGAGTATGACTATCCCCAACGGGATGTCATATGTTAAAAGTATATTTCTAAAGGTAACGTTGAGTTTTCTGTTACAGAAACCGGGACGCTGAAATACATGCGGCTCGAAAATGTGAGTTTCAACTCTACCTACTGTACAAGATACTACACTCGTCCATGAAAATGTGTAACCCTTTAGAACCCAGTTGAAAGCTTTTAGGAAAAATACATTTATTTTCGCGATATAGATTAACAAACTTATCGTTTTTACCAAAAATGAATATTTTTATGACAAATGCTAACTATTAAAACAATTCTAACAATTAGACCAATTCTGACTATTAAAACAATAGGTGGCGATTACTAGATCAATTTTATACTAGTAGTTTTAGTTCACTGGCTCGTATTTTACTGAAATATAGGGTTTCAAGGCGATACCAACGGGAGCTACAGCCGTAAAATATGGAAGAAATCGTGAACCGAATGAATGAAAACCCTTCTACCTCAGATGTATGTTATTCGATTTCAATGGAGTGTGACATATAATTCACATATGTATGTACCCTACGCAGTACACATGCAAAAATTTCAAAATATCTACCTACTTAGAGATTCTGTGTTACTTTTCACTGTATTCTATTGTAAATACATTCTATGACCAGTGTATATTTTCTACCTACATACACGTTTCTTCGTTATATCTTTCTGATTTTCTGTTGTCATATACAATTACAATTATTAAGCTGAACAATATTCGTTAGCGCGTTAAATGCTGCGTTGCTGTTGACGAACGATGCAAAATAGAAAAAGCAGTTATTTGTATTATTTGTGTTATTTTTATTATTTGTATTATTTATATCATCTGTGCTATTTGTACTGTTTATATCGTATCATAATGAAAACAGTTCAATATTTAAAAATTAAAGTAATAACGTTATAAAAGAAAAAGAAGTATAATCAATTTCTAACCGAAATAATTGGATCTTTTGAGTTTCGTTTCGCATCGATGATTTATACGGTATGTGCTGTCCAAATGAAAGAATAAGCAAGATTGGCTGGCTGATTAACCTGTCAAGCCGTTGCGTGCATCCTTAAATTTATCGATAGTTGTTCATTAATATTTTTCCAATGCAGTTTCGAAGAATCATGAACATGGACATGTTTCATTATTCTTCTTTTTATGGATGTATTCTACAGTATTCTACCATTGCACACGCACACAGAGTTATCTACTGGCCATTTTTATGATTTACCTGCAAGTACCTCGTCATCGGTTCATAAAACACACAGGACTCTTTTTCTTTGCATTCTCCCGATACATTAATTCCTTTTCTTTTGACATACGTTCTCTATTATTCCTTTCTGCCATTAAATACGCTTTGCATCCTTTCATGTTTAACAATTCCCGTTAATTGCTTCTGTCTCTTTTAACCCATTTACATCCGACAGGAGAATGAAAAATATACCCATATTAGCAACATTTTTTTCATTAAATCTGAATATAATAATATTTAAAGAAGTAATTTATAAAGTATATGAGCGAGTATGATAAGAAAATAAATAATATAAATTATAAAATTGGTTTTATTAATAACCTGGTAATAACAATTTGCTCTACTTTACCATGAAAAATATTTTAATCTGGTGACAATAGTCAAGAGGATTCCACGCGTATATATGCTAATGACGTAAACGGATTAATTCGTTCTTTGCATCTTTTCTCTTCTCCTTAATTTATTATTTTAGTTCTACATCCCATACGATTGTTTTCTCTATTTATTTAAACGTATAAGTTTTCAGATATTATTGGATAATTAGCATTTATTAAATTTAATGTATATGTTTAACTATACAAAATTTATATATACATTATACATATAATTAAATGTATAATAAAGACCCTAAAATTAAATTCACATTTAACCATACTTCTTCATATGCCTTCACACGTGGCTAAATTGAATTTCAAATATATCGGTTAAAAGTACCAGTGAAATACCCAAAGCGGTCAGAATAAAATTTCTTTTATAGTTTCATATTTAACAAATAAAATAAGAAAATTATTGTACAGTATATTGAAATATTATTATGACACGTTTAAACACAACGTGCATTATAGGTTTATATAAAGTTGAAAATTTTGATGCACATGACGAATATCAAGTCGAAGGGGTTAGTCCATTCCAGTTGCTTTGTTAGCAATAATATTGTTTCGAACATTCATTGCATACGATTTTATAGGACAGTAATTATTAATATTATTATTATTGTCATTAGTATTAGTGGACTTCATTAACCGAGGTCTCGTATATCGGAGGTTTCGATTATCCCTTGCACTATGTTTGCTAAATCTCGTATTTCACAATTTTCCTGTATTTTTATAATGTTTTTCGTTTATTATGTCATTCCGTCATTTCTATTATTGAATGAATATAATAATAATAATAGTTCATATATTGTTTATGCTTGCACCGTTTATATTTATAAGGTAAATGTATTTCTGTAATAGAGAGCATCGAAATATGTCGAGAAATAAGTAGATTAATATATCGCTTATCACGTGAGAAAGAGTTCATTAACTCCTTGCCTTATAATAACGTGACAGACTCGTGGTAAAGATTTTGAAGGGAATTTAATAAGCATAACTATTATTCGATTCTTTTGAATTCAAATTAAATATTATATTTTTGTTATCAATAATTATATTCTTAGAATTTTCCTCCTTTTTCGATAAATCGTTAATGCCAATGTATTGGGTTGATGTAACAATTTCGACATTATTTGGAGCAAGTAAAAATACCACAGTATTCACATTTTTCTTCGAAATCGCAACACTGTCGCAATGATGAAATAAAAATATTTGAAAAACTATTCTTTCGATTTCTTAAAAAAAATACGTCGAAACTTTTGCATCAACCCATTAGTTGTATCGATTATAATTAACACTAGGTTCACGGACACTTATTGTACAGTTCATTTTATTAGTCTCAGAAGAATTGACGTTCGTTCACTTAAATTTTGGAAATTATAGGTTTAAAAATAGACCACTAAACTACACATTTGTGTTATTGTTTTAATCAAAACCAACGCAAACATTCACTGAATAATGCTTATAAAACTCCATATGCGTGAAACTGATGCATTCTTCAAACTTAGTGTTAACCAGTTAACTGTGGAATTTAGTTGGGAAAACCTCTCGTTCTGCGCGCAATAAAATAAAAAAACGGAGCGTCTACTCATCGCACGCAGGACGAATGCACGTAGAGTATATTTTAATGAAAGATCAAAGCGAAACAAAGAAGAGTTACATGTTTATGTGAAAAAATAAAGAATTCATCGCTGAAAGAATTAGTATCATGTCAAGCTTTACGATGACGTGTATACTTGTCAAACACAGTTAACTGGTTAAAGAGTTAATCATACGACAGTGGGTTAAAAAATCAATGTTGTCCAGCTTTGGAAAGGATCCTTCTGCAATGATAAGATTAGATGTTCAATGCGAACACTCCAAAGTAAAATTAACAATTTTTCCGTTCCAGTCTCAGGATGAACGTGACGACAACATACACAAACGCGACGAGCACTTTCGCTGAAATTATGGGCCTCGAGGCGGAGGTGAGAACGAATAAAGCGGAGAACGGGTTAGACAACGACCTTGATATTTCGCCGGTGACATTATCCTCGGCATGGTCCAGAGTGGCGAGATTACTTTTGTTGTCTTCAATGGCCGTCGGGGGCAGCGTCGGGAACGTCTTCATGATCTCTGCGGTGGTGGTCGAGGATCAGCTGAAGAAACGAGGTTTGCCGCCTTGCATTCTTTCCTGATACCATGATAATTGCATGGATCGTTCGTTTTTAGAATTGTTGGGTTTTTAACACAAAACTACCAGATAAGCCAAAATCATCCATTCCTGATTGTTTCTTTTGGGAACGATTAAAAAGGTAATAGATGTTTCTCTGAGAAATTATTCAAAAAATTGATTTAGCAAGATGCAAACTGAATTTTAAATCAATTGAAGTCTCAATAGATGCACCCTGAGTTTCTACAGACGAATTTCAAAAAGTTAATTTAACTGCTCGGTAGTTTTAACACGTTGAGTGTTATGGGGTGATTAATCGGTGACCTCGAACCAAATCGAATTACTATAGTTCATATAATTAACACTAAACGTACCTTGACTGGTCGAACGACCGGGTTTAAAATTAGATTTAAGCTTCTGTGTTTTTCTTTGTTCATTTCACTTTGTATGAGTTCCTATATTGTCCAATTAATCAATTTATCAATTATTCTCCCTTGTTCTGTTTCGGTTTCCAATAAGAAAAATTAATCATTTAACTTGTTTATCTTTATTTTATAACCAATTAGTTGACTGGATAGGTGGGAGTCTCATCGCATTAGGTAGCATTATTTACAATATAGAAATGCTTTCCAATAATCATCGTTTCATTGAGTGAACTGTAGTAATTCGGTTTGGTTGAGGGTCAGCGATGACCCTCTCTAGAATTGAACGTGTTAATCGTAATTAAATGCTCGGTAGTTCTAGTGTTAAATAGTGTGAATTCGAGTAATGTCAATTTTTGGGACTTATTACTCGCACTAATCAAGTAATCCGCCTGTATTCATTTAGGGATCAGGCTCCTATGAATTTCAATCCGTTATATTTTCATGAATACTTTCTCTGCGTATTCTTCGAATTGTTTATCTTTGAAAACCAATCTAGCACGCGTGCAACTGATTGATAACTGGCGTTACGAACTTCACTGCAGGTCGCTACTATAGTATGGCTGCCTTTGTCTACGATACAATGTCGTAGCTTATTTACTATCAGATTGTCACAGTGCTTGCAGCGTTAACTATCGGTTCTGACCAAACAAGCGACACGACGCGGTACAGAAATGATGAATACACAGGTATGCTTTTTGGCGGCGGGATTATGCTGTGGAAATGCATGGTACAAGCACATAATAGCTGCGCGTTGTTATCGCGAACGACAGCCTAATCGTAGCTATCTGAACAAGTTAGTTATTGCGAAAGCCTCATATATTTTTAGGGAAAATCTGATAAACGTTATTGAAGGTACTCGACGAATTCATGATTCAGACTCGACAATAAACTCGATAAACATGATTTAGACTCAACGTTTTCTATGTATATTTACTTTATCCCGGAAATGCATAGCAATATTTTATGAACAAAATTATTGGTTGTTAATTCTAATGTTTCGTTTCGAATAGCTATTGTCTTTGAAATTTTACATACGTATAAAATTATATCAATATCTATTTAGAATAATATCTTTTTGATTGATTATGAAATTTTTATGATTGAATAGATTTCTTTTTCTTTATGTGAGTGCCATTTTATTGTAACAAAAAATTATTTTTCATTGTTTTGATACTGGCAATAACCACATTTGTATAGAGTGAAATTCTTTCTTGTGTTTCAGATGAGTATAATACACACTTACGTACACACAAAGTCAATAAAATTATATTATATTATATTATGTATTAGTAATATTCAAAGCATCTCCTAAATCATATTCATTGATAAGTAAAAAAAGCCTGTTTGTTAATATTGATATAACTTCACTAACGTGTAAATCTTTGCTGATCATGAATTCCAATTCTGATTACGAATTATTCGATATAAATTTTTCATTTATTATTATATAAGTAGAAAGTAATGTATTAATTTCATTAAGGTTTATTTTGTACATAACTGTGCTGTATTGTTATAGGATGATATTATATAATATATCATATACCATATATCATATCATATCATATCATATCATATCATATCATATCACATTATATCATATAATTATATAATAATTAAAATCGTCACAGTGAAGGGCCCCAGTAAAATTCGAAAAACAAGACATCAGTCAAATACACGCGTACTACTTGCTTGACTTTCAAATGCATTTCTCTCGGAGACGAAGGATCCAACGCAATTTTCTTGCTTTTGATTTTCGTCCCGTCTCAAGCCACAGAATTTCTGATTCCATTTGTCCGTCGATTTACGGCCCAGCCTGTATACGCTCTTTGCAATAGAAGGATTAATACGGTAAATGGGATCAAGTCGTGTAGAGAATTCAAGGAGGATCAAACTGAGTGTAGTTTTGGTAAGTTGGGACAGCTCCGCGGGGAAGAACACGTATTTCTACAGCATACGAATTCGCGCATCATAGTGAATTACAGGAACGAGTAACAGTTTTAGTGGCCAGTCCTGTTGCTGTATAGGGTGCACCAAGTAATCATGGACTGTTGACCGGAACCGTAAAAACCTGGACTAAACTCAAAACTTCTTTGAAAATGTATGAAATTTCGCTCACAGATCCTTAGATACATGCACTATGTTCTGGTGCGCATAGAATTTGCTGTAAATTACCCGTTTATCGAGAAATCTACGAAAATGGAGAGAAACGTTTGTCCTAAGAGAGTTTTGTTCTCTTTATGATTGTAGATTATTGAAAATTCATTATTTTTTATTCGTAATGAGATTTCAGGAAATTGTTCCAAAAATACTATCATTAAATGAACACTACTTTGAAATAACTGAAAGCATTGATTTGGCAATACCCAAATTGTATTGTAAATCAATTAAAGTCTCAGTAGATGAACCTTTGAGTTTCTATAAAGGAATTTCAAAAAGTCAATTTAATTGCTCGGTAGTTTTAGTGTTGAAACTCGAAATGATACTAATCTGTTCAACGATGAATTAAAATAAATACTTCCCTAGTTGACTTTATTGCCCGCACAATGAGAGATTTTCCAAAGAAAATTCCACAGTTAACTGGTTAAAACGAGAACGGCTCATTTAATGACTGTATTTATGAGATGATTACTTGTTAATTGCACCTTGCTGGTTACCTCGAATTATCTCGGAATTTTTGGTATAGCACGGTTCACGCGAGCCGAGATAGCTCGGGTTAATTAGGCAGATGGTTAACGTGATATAGGGTGGTATGTGCTTCCGTATAATGGACGCGTGAATTTCCGTTTTCCAGGGAACGCGTTTCTGGTGAACGTCGCATTGGCGGACTTATTGGTAACAGGCCTCGTGATACCGGTGTCGGTGATCGTGATACTGGCAGGACATGAAGAGTCATTGAACACATGCCGATTCGAATGGACTCTCGAGGCTCTTTGCGTGCTGGTCACGGTGTTGACACTGGCAACGATCGCTGCCGAAAATTACACTCGTCTCTGTCTACCACCAGAAAGGTAAGGACAGTTCATCCATTCGCTAACAGGATTTCTTTCAATAACAGTCTCCTCGGTTACAATATTTTATTAACACATTGTTGACCGGTCACGAATTAACTCGTATTTTCATGCCCAAACGTTGTTGACTGATCATGAGTTAACCGGTGTTTGCACTTGTATTAGCCATTTCAATTTTTGAAACGCAGAGAAAAATATTCAAAGATATATAAAATATATGTCCAAAGATTCATTTCTATACACTATGTATAAACAAAGTATATTGAAGTTTATTTAGATTATTTCGCTTTCATATTTAATTGCGAAATAATAACCGGTGACATGGAATAGCTTCTGCATAAAATTGCCGGTCAACGATGTGTTAAGCCATTTGCATTATGTTTAAATACTCTGGTAAGTGCTAATGGAATTTGACTTAAATTGCTTATTAGTGGGGTAGCGGAATTGGCAGGTTCATAAGATATTATATTTGAATTACCGCGTAAGATCAATCAGTTAACAATTTTATCTGATTATATGATTTATATATGATTATGTGATTTATGTACGATGATATATAATTTATATATGATTATGTGATTTACATATGACTGCATATGATTTATATATGATTATACGATTTATATATGACTATATGTGATTTATATGCTGAAAAACCTTGATGCAAATACAGCTCGTCGTATAATGCGATTGGATGAAATAAAACATGTCATCTTTACAAAATACAAACAATAATCAAGAGAAAAAATCCCCACGACTTCCTCCACATTATATGATGACTATGTCAATCCAAAAGAAAATGGGAACAAAATATAATAGTATGTAATAAATAATGAAACTTTATGAAATTTTAGAAGCGGAGTTTACTTTTGATGTACTGAAATTAAAAAATCGACTTTCTCTTTACCGATCAGTGGAGAATACCTCCTTAATACTGGAATAAAGGAACTAAGACATGGACAGTGTTCTTCTTATTTTTCCGAGTATACCATTTCCTTTGATCTCATTAAGTTTCAGAAAAGTTAATGGAATAATTACTGCGATAAATCTCAAGTTATAATTAAAAACAGGTTGAAGTACATTTTATGCAAGCTTAATAGTTTCGTGCGCGTTATGAATTCTGCGAGAGGAGAAAGCGATGCTTTAAGTGGTTAGACTTGAGTCTGGACGAGATAAGTTTGAAGTTTTACTAAGTAATTTAAGAAACGTGTGCAGCACTGTTGAATGTAATCGAAGGTTCTACAAATAGATTCAAGAATTTATTGGGAACATTAACCAAATATTCTAAATTCTGTGCAATTGTGAGAACTGTTTTCGATGAAAATTGAAATGTCTGTAGTTAATATTATATTATTACATAATTATATTTATATAATCAGTATTATTTAATGCTTATAGCAGAACATGATTTTGTTTAACACTAGAATCACCATGTTAGTCGAAATGACTGGTTTCAAATTTTTTATTTTGCAATTACTGAAGCGTTACGTATGCGAAATTATTTAAAAAATTATTTGTTTTAAATTAAATTAATTTAAATTGAAGTAAAAAATTAATGTGCACTAACTTTTAGAAGGAAAGGTAGGCCATAAGTCATTTCTAAGAATCTTTTATATATTCTTTTTACTACGCGCATTTTATGCAATTTCATCTTTTTACAATTCTCCATGAATACATAAAATTTCGTAGTCTACTGGTTACCAAATAGTTTTTACAATGTTTTAATCAATGTGATGAAAATAATTTCATTCGAAGCATAAAATTTAATACACGTTTTCTGCTTCAAAAGACTGGGTAGCTAGACAGTAAAAATCTCTAACGTTTATTAAAAGGAGCACACAAAAACCGTATTCGTTCGAAAATTCTTTGATCTCAAATTTTATGAATTTGATGCAAACTTAAAAAAAACCGTTGAAAATTTGGTGATTAATTTTTAAGAAAAAGAAAGTTTTGCTACGCTTTGAACACAGTAGTATAAGTCAATGATTGAGTAATAGTGGAAGTATAAGATACCAACAACGTTTAAATCATTATAACAATCTAATCATGATAGTTTCTAAATCATGTTCTGTAGTAATCATAAATTATATTAATACAATATATTTTAACTAATGTTTTACAATAATACACAGTTATATTAATATGTTCTAAATAATGTTCTACAAAATCAAAAATAGTTGAAACACTATTCTTAACAGTAGAATTGAATAAAATATTCTATACAAAATAGTATAACATTCACGATTAAACAAAAGTGAAAAAAATGAGTTCGAATATAAGACAGTAAAGTGCGAATATTTGTAAAACATTGGAATTGGTAAACAAACATTGCAACGTTATCGTGAAACTGTTAAAAAATTCTAAAAATGATGAAAAGAAGAATATTAAAATTTGTCCTGGTACTATGAGTAAGTAACCATGGAGTCTATGAAATATCGAAGACAAATCTCGCAGAGAGAGGATTGAAGAAATTGATGGAAGTAATGTTTTGGAAAGACAAGAGATTTGCACTAGCTGAATCAGGTAATCACAATCTTTTGATTTCATTAGAAAAGATTCAATATATCGATTTAGATGTAGACCCTAAGCGAGAGGACAAGAATTGATGATCTGACGAGTAGTTGATTACCAAAGTAGGTTATTCGACCCACCAATGGAAAATTGATGGTACTGTGCACGTAAAGCTAGCGAATGAAATAACAACGTTAAATTCAATACAAATAAACAATAAATTACGTTTACGTTTCTTACTGTAATGTCTATTAAAATAAAAAACAATCTCAATCTGTAGAAAAATTCAACACCACGATCAAAGAAGTTGTAATACAATTTAATTTGTTCAAGTTTGTGGTACAAGCTGTAGTACAATTTAACAAAATTTTCATTGAAATTTGTGTCCATGTATTATTATTTAAAAGGACGCTAAAAATCATAGAAAAAAGAGATACTTTTAAGATGTTCTAAACTTTGAAAATCAAAATGATGAGCCATTTCTCGTCTAGCCATAAATCACAGTTAAAAAACTGTCGACAGCTGTCCATGCTTTATGAACTTCTGTAAAAAATTAAAAGGATATATGAAAAATGTATTTTCTGCATTGGTCATAACTGAATACATTATCGTTTTACGGTACATAAACTAAAATTTCAGATTTTATCGGTAATGACACGATAAGCTACACGCGATTTGTCATCTAGTTTTCGTTTACTTGTTGCACTTTGATACGTATACATGCGATTTCTATAAAAGTAATTATCAGACGAATTTTAATCGTAATTTTGTGCTTAAGAAAAGTTGAATTTTGTTTCTTTTAATCTCTATAAGTCGACAATATTAAACTTCGTGCAAAGCTCCTGTAAGTCGCTTTTTTGTTTCTCAAACCTTTCTTGCGCGGAAACTTCGTGAAAGCGGGACTTCCGTGGCTGGTAGATTTTCGTTCTTCCCTTGAGATTCAACTTATCGAGATTCAACTGTGCAATACAATAAATGAGACATTTCGTTTTATCAGCAACGTTTCATTTTAGTATTTAAAGTGACTAGTTTTATATTTAAGAAAAAAAATGGCTGCACATCTGTGTAGTAATTGAAGTATTCCTTTTCTTTAAATCCTTTGTTCTAATTAATTAATTGTATTATCTTAATTTATTTTTGTTGTTTATTTATATTATATATATTAATTATATATTTTTTATTGTATTATATTTTAATATTATATTTCTTATATTTTCAGCATAATGTCCTTGATTATATACTTTGTGTTAGTACAATTGAAATTCTGTGACTTTAGAATTACTTTTTCTAATAACTTAACTGACGGTCCCTTAATTTTTTAGATATTTTTGAAAAAACATTATAACATTTTACTAATTATTCATAAACATTTCAATGAGTTTAAAATACATTGTATGGACACAAATGTTTAAGATTCTCAGAATATGATTTGCAAAAACAAAACTCTAAATGAAAAAAATGTTTTTTCCATTACCTATTTCATTTTTCCACGTCAAATCACTTCGAACCTGAATGTACCAACAATTACTAATCATCCAGTATATTTTGTTATTTATTAATTCGTTTGTCTGTTCATATGCACGCGTAACTGTCACGTATGGAGATAACAGTATGCATGAGATTTAATTCAGAATTCTTGCTTAAAACCTACGTGCAATGAAAATTCTATTATAGGACAAAATTACGTCATTCGGGGGTTGATTGTTCGTTTCCTGGATACCACGATGCGTTGAATATCGTCCTTAGGATGGTATATTATAGTCCTTGTACCTTGTAAATATGTGACTTAGCATTTGTCCTCTATAATTGAATTCCATGCGTCCAAATGGGTTGGAATACTGCTTGGTCAATAAAAGTTTGTTTTCAAACAGTAATTTGGGCTTACACGCAATAATCCAGTACATTTGTTTTTACTGTAATTTGGTTTGGTTAATGATTCTTTTAATGGCAGTGATAACAATTAAGCTCAGAATATAGATATGATCTAATATATTCGAACATTTTTGTAATTTTCATACATGTATCACAACCGAAAATAAAAATCGAAAAAAGATCCCAACTTGTACACTAAAAAACAATTCCATTGTATCTGCGGAATTACATATTTCAATTTTGGCTTCAATTTAAAATATTGATTTGAAATATAAAAACATTCGTGGTGTGTTATTTAAGATAATACAAGTAAACATTTTCTTCAGTTTTGATGGTAAAACAAATATTTCGTGTACAATTGGAATCGTATCAAATGATGAATACACCGTGAAACGGTCGAAGTTATAAATGTAAATGAGCAGAGATTATTCAGCATTGAAATGGTCAATTATTCGTTCGAGTGACCATTCATATTTTAATTAGACAGTTTTGTCTATTTCGCGGATATACCTTTGAACCTAATTCGGCGGTGAGGTTTTCTGAACGTGGATGAGGTCAATAGGGCGTCAAGTACTGGAACTCCTTCGATATGCTATTTCAAAAGGTCTTGCTTTGTG